ACGCTGCAGTATCTCGCTTTCCATCGCCATTCTTCGATCTTATCGTCGATTTTCGATCCACTCGACGACTGACGACAATACGTCGAATGTATTTTTTTTTCTTTTTTTCTTTTTTCCATTTCCAATATTCACACCGGTGACTTTGCCAGTTTTTTCGCGAAAATTTATTTCGTTGTCGCGACGGGAATCTATTTAGTTGACGACGCGATGGAAACGATTTTGAATCTACCTTTCGATCGAAATTCGCATTGGTGTATGTACAAATATTAAAAATTACATCGTCACGCTTAGTTTATGTCGATGTCTGATTCTTCGTACCCAGTGAAGAATCTGGCGTTAATTGTACCAACGACAATGAAAAATTGTAGACAATTTCAACTGATACAACTTCGTAAAAAAAAAAAAAGAAAAAATATCACGCAACGATCCACTTGGTCTCATTTTAAAGAGCAAAGTTCCTGCTTTGACGGTCGTGAGTTTGTTTCTTTTGAAGATTATTTTACATTTTCTCTCGAAAATTGCAAAAATTCAAACGCGTGTGGAAACATTAAAAAATTTCTTTTTCCTCTTCTTTTCCCCTAAAGATTGAAGTTTCTTCTTCACAATAATTCCCTGAAACTTGTAACATTCTTTCTGTATTGTTTTATCGAACGTTGAGTCATTGTTAGAGTCAAATGACAAAAATTCAAAAGATCCCAATATTTTTCGTCTAACCTTAATGTCCCAAGCTTAACAAAACGGCGAAGAAGGATCGTACAGCAAGTTTTCAGAAGTCGTTGTAAGGAAAAAATTTCTCTCGTTTCACGGAGAATTTAATTAATTCCAATGTAGAAATTTTCGACGCGTATGTACTTGTCGACGGTAAAGCTAACATCTCAGGACAGAGCAATCCAATAAAATGTGGTAAGCTTAAAAGTAACGTGGCAAACGAAACGTTGGAAATAACGAATAGAAAAGAGCGCAGGTCTATGTACGTACAAAGCTCGGAAAGCTCGGTGGAATTGTCGAAAAGAACTTGGCTTTCTCTCTGTCGTGTCTTATCTTCCAGCACAAAGAGGAACGACGAAACAGTCGGCAAGGATGCCCAAGCGAACCGGAAACCCGGTCAACGAGGTCAAGAGTCGATCGGAATGACCCTCGTTAAAAGACTTTAATTCGAGAAACAGCTTGCTGATACACCAACGAAGAACGCGTTCGAACTGCAGTCCCGTTAAAGCTTCCTCTTTTCTTTCCGTCCAGTGAAAATTTCCAATCTAGTTTTTCCAATTTACGGCACTTTCAATGGCGAGCGCAAGTATGTATTTAGAACTTTATAACCGGTAGACTAGGGGAATTTAGAATGGAGGGGGGGAAGGTCCGATCAGTTCACGCGATCGTCTTACGCGAAATCGAATTTAATACTTTGACGCTTATGGCTTATCTGTGGATGAATAGGTACAGATACGTACAGGGTGGAAAAAGAAATTTATCCATGGAATATGATTCTTCGATTTGATGGAAATACGTGTAAAGAATCTGTCGCAAAATTGTCTTTGATTTCGAATTTCGAGATAAAAAAATTTTTTTTTCTTTTTCTGCATTGTATCCTACTCATCACGAAGGTAAAACTTTTCCAAGGAACCACAGGTCGCAATAGTTCTCTTGAAAAATAGCAAAAAAGTTTCTTAACACTGCGGAGTCGTCGTGCGTTCTAACAGCGACTTTATGATTCTGGACGCGTGGATGTAATGTTTATATTTCGAACAGCGTTAGCAGTTAGCTTTATCATTTGATTATTTAGACTTGCACTGATGCTACAACTATGATAAATCAAATGTTAGTGAAACCTAATACGAAAATTACATCCCAGAACCATAAGGTCGCTGTTAGCACGCACGCGTTCGCAGTGTTGAATGATCAAGAAACTTCTTTGCCATTTTTCAAAAGAACTATCAGGTTGTGACTTGTAGGTTCTTTGAAGAAATTTTACCTTCGCGGTCAGTATAATACAATATAAAAAAAAAAAATTTTTTTGACCTTGAAATTGAAAGTCAACGTCAGTTTTACGGCAAATTCTTTACGTGTATTTTCCATGAAATCGAAGGTGTAGAATTCATCTATGACATGTACATGTGCAATCGATAATACGAAAATTACATTCACACGTCCAGAACCATAAAGTCGCTGTTAGCACGCACGCTTTCGCAATGTTGAATAATCAAGAAACTTCTTTGCCATTTTCCAAGAGAACTGCTATTAGGTTGTGACTTGTAGGTTCCTTGAAAAAGTTTTACCTTCGCGATCAGTAAAATACAATACAAAAAGAAAAAAATTTTTTTTGACCTTGAAATTGGAAGCAAGGTTAGTTTTACGGCAAATTCTTTACGTGTATTTTCCATGAAATCGAAGGTGTAGAATTCATCTATGACATGTACATGTGCAATCGATAATACGAAAATTACATTCACACGTCCAGAACCATAAAGTCGCTGTTAGCACGCACGCTTTCGCAATATTGAATAATCAAGAAACTTCTTTGCCATTTTCCAAGAGAACTGCTATTAGGTTGTGACTTGTAGGTTCCTTGAAAAAGTTTTACCTTCGCGATCAGTAAAATACAATACAAAAAGAAAAAAATTTTTTTTGACCTTGAAATTGGAAGCAAGGTTAGTTTTACGGCAAATTCTTTACGTGTATTTCCATGAAATCGAAGGTGTAGAATTCATCTATGACATGTACATGTGCAATCGATGATACGAAAATTACATTCACTCGCCCAGAACCATAAAGTCGCTGTTAGCACGCAATGTTGAATGATCAAGTAACTTTTTTGCCATTTTTCAAGAGAACTATTAGCTTGTGACTTGTAGGTTCCTTGAAGAAATTTTACCTTCGCGGTCAGTACAATACAATACAGAAAAAAAATTTTTTGACCTTGAAATTGAAAGTCAAAGTCAGTTTTACGGCAAATTCTTTACGTGTATCTCCATGAAATCAAAGGTGTAGAATTCATCTATGATAGCCACGGACAAATTTTTCTTTCCACCCTGTATATGTACATGTGCATGTATGTAAATAGACGTTGGTAGTCGAAAGAGCAAGGTCGTCATCTGCCGTTCGTCGACGTGTCGTGCCGGTTGACTGCAACGGAGGTAAAAGCGAAAAAGCCACGGGCCATAAGGAAGAAACTCGGTCACGGCTGTCGAAGACGACAGCGTAACCGGGCTTCGTGCAGTTGGTTGAATACCGTAGCATTTCTACAAAAGAGATTGTCGTTAACGCCGTTTGACGTTAACAGGGTTCGCGGGCGATAAAACGCGAGTCTATGCGTCAACTCGAGCCAGATGCCTCTGGATCCTCCCTATTTTTCCGCCTTTTCGTTCCTTCGTGTCCGTGCTCTCTTCTTTTCAATTGTTTCTCTTCGCGTCAATTGTTCACCGCGGCGCCGCGTGACAGCCGGCATTCTAATTACATTACGAAGAACAGTCGATCTCTTATCAAAGATTTTTACGAGTCGATTTTGAATAACTACAGACTCCTGATTAATGAATATGCTGTTAATTTTTCTAGATTGACTCTAGTCTAGTTTCGCAAACTTTATGTATGTGGTATTTCATTGTTTGCCCTTGTCTAAATTTGTCCAAAATACGCTTGTTATGCCTGTTAAAATATTACACAAAGTCCGTGATGTTTTTCCTTCTGTCTTTTGGCAACGGTGTTTGCCGCAGATATAACAGAGAACACCGAGATTATTTACACACTGTTTTCATAAAATACTCATTTCCGCGGTAAAACATGCTCGTATATTTACTGAAATAAGACTAATAAAACAATTTCTCGTTATTTCTTTAGAGGGGGATAGTTGATAACGAATTGAATGTAACTCTTTTGTCAAGTAAAGCAGATTTTGAATCGTTCGGGAGGTAATTAAGGAATTTAAGAATTAAGCTGCGTAGCTGCTTAAACGTTTGATTCTCCAGCGGAAAAGATAGTGATTACTGTGTGAAACGAGGAGAGAGTCGGCTTAATGCTGCTGCCTGCGAGACCGTCTTTCCTGTGTGTCCGAGCCTCTCCGTCGAGATTTTCACTTTTTGTCCAAGTTTCTTTGACGACTCGATCAAAGGTTCGAAGGCTCTGTTACGGAGTTGCACCGAGTTTCTGCTATCTAATTGTAATCGAACGCACCTTCTTTTTGAAAGAGGAACGGGCCCGCTCCTTCGTGACGTTCGAAATCTCCCTCGACTTTGAGTGTTGAGAATTCATCGATATCCGAGAACGCTTTGTCGTCGATTTAATAATCCCAGTTTCTACGCGTCGGAGCTGCTGCCTCTTGAAAATATGTCTGTCTCTTTCCTTTCGTTTCTTCTCTGTGACGACAACTGCTCCAGCTTGTTTTTAATCTCTTTTTCGAAGAAGAAAATTCGCTGACATGAAAATACAATCGGGGAGGGGGGGAAAAAAAAAAAAGAAGAAAATGTACCAAAACTCAAAATCGTTTCGTAGAAACTATCGTCAGATTATTGGAGAATAATCGAGAGTTTTCGAGAGATTAATATCATTTCCAAATGTCTGAAACGTATCATACACGCTTTGTAGGCTCCTTGACATAAATCGAACCGAAGGAGACCTAGCTAGGATCGACCTAAAAATACCTCCGCCGGATGACATTCCACGATATATTATCTTCCTTAAATGGCAGTGCAACTGATGTAGCCGTGTTCAACCGGTTCCCAGAGTAAAATGAAAGGTTCGGGGAACAATGCCGCAGATATCGTTTATTTAGTCAATTTAGTCGATGCCCGGTATAACGCACTAAAGAGCTCCGGTTCTATTCTCTTCGTCTTTCATTTACGATATAACGTAATGTAAGTTGAAACAGTTGAACGTTCCTCACAATCTCCTCTTTCGTCCGGAAGTAACGTAACGATTTTCGTTCTTTGTCGTTGTTAGAGAGCTGTATGAATATCAGAGCACGTTGGAATTGACTTTTGAACGTTTAAAATGGCGCTTTACTGTTTCAGCAAAATTATCTCATGAAATTTGGATATCTACCGCAGACGGATCTAGAGACCGGAAACCTTAGGACCGACGATCAGCTTACAGACGCCATTGAACATTTACAGGTGAGTGAAATAAAATATTGATGGTTTCGCTTCGTTGGGATGCGCGCGTGTCGAATACGAAATAAATAAATACGTGACGATGCTAAACAAGAAACAATAACTTGAGATGTTTTATTTGCTTTCGTTTCTTTGCTTTTCACTTCAAGTATTATTATTACACAAACCTGTTTGTTGATTGTAGCAATCGCTCGTGCTCTACCTGTCGTGATCTTTCTCTACGCGTTAATTCGCAGCTAGTTATCGGCGCCTCGGTATCAATTCAGTGAAAGAAATCTGTACTTGTTTATTCGGGGGGAAATGCAGATCCTTTGATACTTTTAGCCTCGTGAGTTAGGCAAGCTGAAGCTGCGTGAAATGCAATTACGTTAGATTGCTAGAACCGTGTTTCCGTCTCGTTTGAAAAATCCTACCGATTGGAACAATGTATCCTTAGTGAATGCAAAAAGGGGGAAAAGAGAAAAAAAAATAAAAAAAGAAAGAGGAGAGAGAAAAAAAGGACGTAAATGCACGACAATTGGGAAAGGGGGAGAGGAAACGACGCGTTGTTCGGTTGGCGAGGATTTACATGAAAATCGAGCTCGTTAAAGGCAAACGCACATAGACGATCGCCGAAAGCGGTATTCTCTTTGCCTCCTCCGTACAAACCGAAAGCCATCCAGACATCAAGTTTTAATTTACTTTTTTACTTTCTATCATTTGTCCTCGCGCGATAGAACCGCAGGGAAAAATTTCTCGTTGATGTATTTGAGATAGGATCGAACGGTAAATTTTCTCGTTTAAATTATAACGTTTCCAATATCTATCTGACGTTAGCTCGATAGAGGAGATAGATAGAATCGTTTAGGAAACGCGGCTATTTTATTGTAAAATAATAAGATGAAAAAATTACACAATATTTGTCAAATGAAAATTAAGTTCTCACGGTTCAAAGAGAAATGAGGAGAGGATAGTGATGTCTCTTATCACAAGTAAAAATAACGCGTTCCATGGCTGAAACCCCTCGTTCGAAAGTTCGAAGTGCCCTTTCCCCAGCGGGGAATTGCAAGTCAAGGAGAATAGTTGAGTTATCTCGTCTTGTTGAACTACGGAAAAAGAAGTTTCTTTTACGGCGCCGTATCGTTGCACTTGATAATACAATTTTTTCTAGGGGCACAAACACTTGCTATAAACTCGCCCTTTCACCATGTTGATACATGTTTCGATGTCGCTTTGTTAAATTTAGAGAAATTACAAGTGCGCTATGCGACCGTGTTTAAAAATCGAGCTTTCTGTAAAATTTTTCGAACATCGAAGATATTAAAAAAATAGAAAAAGATCTTTAACCGATCTTGTTATACGTAGAACACTCGCTTCTATAATTGTAGAGCCGCAAGATTAGTTTTAGAAATTTACGTTTAAACATAACTGTTTGAAACAAATTTTTGATAAAGAATTTACTTTTGCACTGCTGCTGCTTCGAAATTCCGAAGAATTCAAAGTAGAAATTAACGAGATTTTCGACGATTTATAACGTTGGTGAGTAACGTAACTGTTAAAGTCCCATCTTTTATCTAACGATCGAACAGTTCACCATCTTGATTAGACTAGATGCGCATGCAAACTGATACAACGCCTTAACCTGCACATTATTTTGACAATTACCCTGCCGATTTTCATAGAAAATAGCGATTCAAAGCGTAGAATACAGAACTAAGTTTAGAAAATAATTAGAACGTGTTTGAAATTCCTCTTCCTTGCAAGAAGGAACGATGCACGTCAAGGTAACTTTATTGCAGAATCGAGTGAAACAGAACGAAACGATGGAAGAACCATGCATTTTTATTTTGTCGATTTTTATTTCATCGTGGGAAAGTAATATCGATTTCATAGATGTACCTATAAGCTGCGAGCAAATTAATTTCCTATTCGCTATGTTAAATATTCTCCTATGATTCTCTTTTGTTAATCTAAACCAAAATTCTCCTTGAGATCTCTTCAATCTCGTCGGCATCGATCAAAAATCGATGTTACTCTCTCGCTGAGCCGAGATCTCAAATGAATGCCTACCACGCGACTATGTACATATGTATATCCCTTTCTTTTCTCTACCTTTTTTTTATCTAGTGTTATTTACTGTAACTTTTGAACTTTACTTTCATCGTACGAATATTAAAACTGAACTACTTTATCCGTCAGAGATTCAGTGGCATTCCTGTGACTGGCATTATCGACGAAGACACGGTGAGGTTAATGAGACTTCCGCGGTGCGGACTTCCGGATAAAATGGACAAAATGGATCCTAGATACGCCAGAATCAGGCATAAACGATTCACGATCCATGGGCAACACTGGTTACATCGGAATCTTACTTGGAGGTAAGCGACAGATCGATATTTCGATAATTGCATATTTCGGTCGGGCGTGTTTTTTTTTTTTTCACTCGTTGCCGGACGAGAGAAAAGGGCACGAACTAATTGTAATTTTCGAAATTACGAGTTCGCGTAACTAGATGTTGACGCGTCCGTCAGTCGCTGTGTAAGTGAAAAGTAGACGTGTCAGCGGAAACCGTCCCGACATAATGATCCTGTGCACGCGTGACAATTATTCGTTGAAAAAGCAGGACGTTTGGCCCGCTAATTGTCATTCGTGTTACGCGGCCCTCGAGAGACAGAGATTCTCCGCGAATAAAATTTTCTGCGAACGCGTCGCTAACTGCGCGGAAATGCCATTGACATTGTTGGTCACTGGCCAACGAAGACCAACAGCGAATTTCTGCTTGCGAGTTCGTCCGCTCGTTCGACCGGTTGGAAATATCACGAAGAGGTTGGAGAATAAAGAATAGAAAATGGAGAATCTGTACGTAAAATAATACAGTTGCATAAAAACGGGCCAGTCATTTGTAACACCAGCACCAAGCCTGCTTTTTCTTCAGTTTTTCTATTTCTCTGTTTTTACCTTTACTTCTGGCATGCATGTAAATCAACCGACACTTGTGCAGTCGAATCGGGCAGGCAGTTCAATCGGACGAAATCATTTTACGAAAATTTGCTCGACTAGTGCAAATGCGGTATACGAGATAGGTAAAATTTTCCAAGAAATTTCAAGTAAAACGTTAAGAACGAATTTAGTTAATTGAAAACTGAATTCTACGAGAAAAATGTGCTCATAGCGTTAAAGTAACGATTAAAGTTATCGATTCGAATCAAAATGCAAAAGAAACATTGCCAGGCACGTTAATTGAAAAAAAAAAAGAACAGACGATTTGATTTCAAATCGAGTTACTTGCTATATCGACAAACGAACGTGTCAGACGAACACGAACGAGTCCTGTTATTCAATCGGATGACGAAGGAGAAAGAGTAAAAGAATTTAATTGAAAGAAGAGGCAAGTTGAGCGTTGTTAATTTAATTATCTTGAACTCGTTACTGTCCTGCCGCCTCGACAAAGTTGGAAGTTTTACATTTACGATGATGTAAAGCGTAAAATGTAAGAGGCGAAAGTTATTTTTCAATTTACCAATTTGATTTAGAACAAAGATTTAGATTTAATATTGAATGCAAAGCGAGTACCAAATAATTGAAACAGTTGATATTGTAGTTCTCTGACGCATGGATTACCCATAGTCGGTAGCGTTGTCTGCGTCGGTAATGATCGCGTCGGTAGGCGACTTCTACGATACCGATTATGAGTGTCACGTTAGGTGACGCCCCCTAACAGCTGTATTCGATAGGTATTAAAAATACGAGTACGGCAACTATAGATAGATAGGGTGCGTGGCATCCTATAAATTCCTCCTACTACTATAAAATCAGTTAGAAAGCGCGTTCTACGGAATAAAAATAATAGTTAACACACTTGGAGAGAACGCATCGCGACGCATCGTTCCAGCAGCGAGTAAATTTATGCATTGTCCGGTTTAGTAATTGAGGTGATGATATAAATAATAGGAAGTTCGTTAGTATTTAGGAGTTCTAATTAGCAAGAGCAAGGGACGAGGCATCGTTCGGCTCTAATTGCGTGCCTTAACGACCAGGGCCAGCCGCATGGTCGCACGAAAATTTCGCAGTAATTTCGTCGGGACGTCGAGAATTTAAGGTCCTCGTTCTTCACTCCCGTCGGAAGAAGGGTGATAATCAACGCTTGTCAATAAAACGACGCAGTGAAATGATTAGACTCGTTAGACGATCCTACAAACGGCATTCCAATGACTCGCTTTGAATGCTTCGTTCAGCTTTCGTCTCTAGCCCCCTCCGTTAGTATTTTTTTTTTTTTTTTTCTTTTCTTTTCTTTTCTTTCAGGTGCCGAATGGAGAGAAATCTGAACAAATTATGTTCGTTAGCAAATTATCGAATACTGCGAGACGAACAAATAGAGAAACGGTGGAGATGAAAGACTACTTTCATATTTTTCAAACGTGCAAGCTTGCTCGCTTTGACAAACAAACTTTTTCAAAGCGTAGTTATTAATCCCGTGATAATGAGAATCTTTGTCAAGTGACGCGCCCCTTCTTCCCCGAGAAGTATAACGAGTGATAAAAGATCGATAAATCGCGGCTATCTTTGCCATTTCTCGAAAGGGGGAAATGTAGTTACGGCGAAAAGTGTTTGAACTTCCTTTCGATGGAAGCTCTCGCCGTAAACGTTGATAGGTTAATTTAATGACTCTCTCGATTTCCATGACGCGACGAAGTTACGATCAAAGAAACGAGGATTTCTGATTGAATTCCTTTGCCATTACGGCGGTGGGGAGGGCTCGGACGATTGCCTCGTTAGGTTAATGGACACATTAAATATTAACGCAATATTCAGAAATAATTTCAGAATAATCGTATCTGGACGCCATCGGGATGAGACCCGGTTAATCAATTCCGTATTTTAACACGGCTAACGATATCTTGTCAGTGGAATTTTCATTTTTCTCGCTTCACTTTTACCAGGCGAGCGACGTTAATGATAGTTAATGGAGATTGCCTAAACGTGCACGTAATTTTCAGTTCTCTCCGTCGTACATCGGCATCAGATATACTTCGTCTTTGTTACATCGTCATTTATTGTCGCCAAAAAATACGTGGTAATTTAACTTGCATAGAATATTTTTTCTAATTGACACGGAACGACTAATTTATTCGGAGAAATACGTACAAGAGAAAGGAGATTGACTCTCAAAAGAGCAATATATATAATATACAGGATGGGTCACCACATGTTGCCAGTCGTCTAGATTTACGTCATTATTATTACGCGTAGCAAAAATATGTTTCAAAATGAAGTTAAATGGTTTCGAGAGGGACACATTTTGATGATACTAGTTTTCTTGTAGGTGGACGTGTAGAAGACGTATGAAAATCATTAACGTTTTTTTAAATGAAATCATATATTTTTATTGCATCAGTTTTTTGATGCATCTTGATATTCTTTGCAAAAGAAGTATTAACCTATTTATGTTAAAAAATCATTAGTTTAGGAGATATTTAAATGTTGGTAGGAAATAAAGTGTACGCTAAACCTCCGACTACAATGGCTAATATGAGAGATCGTATCGTCATTGAATGTAATAAAATAACACCAGATACATTACACAATGTGAGTGAATTATTAATTTAACGATTCAGAAAATTTTGTGTAATGATCGTCACATTGAACCTTTTTTGTAAATAAAATTATTACAATATTAACAAAGGGGTCGTGATTTCCTAACAGCATTAAAATTAAAATATTTTCTAATGATTTTTTAACCTAAATAGGTTAATATCAGGTTAATACTTTTTTGCAAAGAATATCAAGATGCAATAAAATATATGATTCCATTTTAAAAAACGTTAATGTCCACCTACAAGAAAACTAGTATTATCAAAATGTACCCCTCTCGAAACCATTCAACTTCATCTGAAACATTTTTCGCTACGCGTAATAATAAAATGACGTAAATCTAGATGGCAATATGTGGTGATCCACTTTGTATAATATAATATATAATACTGTATAATATAAAATACTGAAATATCACTATTGAAACAAATCTGGAGTTTGATCACACCCTTGAAACAAGAAACTTTAGGATGAAACCGATCGGTGTCCGAAGCCCCGTTCGACCGCAAAATTCTAAAAAAACCTTGGTTCCCTTCTTCAATTTTCGAGCGAAAGTATAACATATACGATAATCCCTTCGAAAAAAAAAAAAAAAATGCCCGAAGGCCCAACGTATGAGAAAAGTTACGTGCGTCGTTACTTGTATCGTTTCACTTTACTACAATTACAAACTTGTTATATTTCGTTGTGTAAACCTTCATCTGAGATGTAAGCATCTAAATTTGACGCGTGCCGCAGTGTAACATGGCGCAACGATTGCGTCGAACAGAACGCGGTGTGCATCAGATAAGGCTAATGCATCGACAGTATACACTGTATGGTACACGGCTTGGAACAAATTACGATATACGTACACGCTGCATCCATTCAGCAGTTTCGAAAACTCGTCGACCACCTTATTCCCTGTGTGGACGATTTCTTCGAAGCTTGGATGGTAAAATGTTGAAAATATGACGTCCGCGTGGTATCAGCGAAACTTGGATAAGACATGGATAAGCATCTTTCCATTGGGCGACTCGTTAGAAAAATAGTCTTTTGGCTTGGGAAAAGTCAATCCTCCCGGGACCAAGGAGAAGATCGATAGGACATCTTGTCTCGTATCTCGTCTTCGTCGTTTCTCGCATTGTCTGTCGTCCAACGTGAGACAGATGTACTATCGATCTCCTGCGTCTCTCCGCAATCTCGATAGTCCTTAATCTTTATCCAGATAGTACGACGCTTTATCCTGGAGAACGCGAACGCTGCTACGCGAATACAACGATATTCCGTTGTTCGTCGAAAACAAGCTCGAGAACTCTGCTAAAAAAAGAGAAAGACAGAAAGCTTTTGTTGCTCGCGGTTAAAATTCCAAAAGGAAATCTCCACAGGGTGAATAGAAAAAAGGGTTCATAACTTTTAGGGAACATAAGAAAAAGTCCTGATAAACATAAATAATATAAAGTTATAAATATGATATTTTATTTGTATGGCTACGAGTTGCCATAGTTGGATTTTTTGCTTTGGCTCGTCTTTCGACGTAATTTTCTCATAATTTTTAATCCTCTCTCCACAGTATCCCGCAAGTACTTTTATTAGGATTGAGGTTAGAACTTTGTGGTGAATGTGGTAATGTATATACATGGAGTGTTGTGCAGTAACCATTCTTTAGCAATTTTAGCCAAACGTTTCGAATCGTTGTCCTGTTGAAAGTAATAATTTCCTGGCTGATTTGGTTCGTCTTTCTTTCAGGTTGCTTCGAAATTTTCAAATATTTCACCTCATCTGATATTCTATCGATAAAAATAAAACTT